TTATTTTCTTATAGAAAGTGAAACCAGAACTGGGTTTTGTTCGATGTAAAAAAACAAAAACCAAACAAACTCATAATCCCATTCTCATTTCTTACAGAGGTAATAACTAGAAATCCATCTTTGGAATATAACCTCAATCAAATCTATGTTGTGTTTCACTGCACATATTTAGAAAAAGACATTATTTTAAAAACAAAACAAACAATCAAAAAAACTATTTAATATCTGCAGAGACTCAGTATCTGAGTAATTAAGGGGACAGATGTCCTGTGGGAGCGGCATCCCTAACCTGGATTCCCAGTGCTGTCCTCAGCAGGCCTGGAGGGGAACACTGGTAGTGACCAACATCCAAGGCTGGGGTCTGTGGGGAGATTATTTCAGCACGACTGAAGCGTAAGTATAGAATTATCTTGAGATTCAGAGGTACTGAGAGAGTGGGTACTGTGGATATGATGTATAAAAAAACAAATATTGATTAATTAATCCTTTGCTCTTTCTTGTTTTTGCCAAATGACAGGTATGCTAAAGTGTACTACAGTGACATCAGCCACACGACTGATGTGATCTATTCAAATGATCCTAACTGGAATGAACACTTGACATTCGGCAAGGTAACTACAAATGGTCTCTTTATAAATCACCTCGAAGGGCAGCATTTTACATTTAGAAAAGTTTAATCCCATCATTTGGCCTTTAGCTCTGATTCATATTTAGGCAAGAACTTCCACTTACTGAATTACCACTTACAAAAATAAAAAATGGGATTTACAAAAATGCCAAACATAAGCTTCTAAAACTTCAACCTACAGCTTGTGGAGCCACTGGCAACAACAGGCCTTGTAAAGTTCAAATTAAGCATTTTGTAAATATTGTACTGTATATTCATTGATTACATATTGCATCTTCCAGATATGAGAATGGGTGATAAATGGGATAATGCTTTATTTTACAGGTCTATAAATTCCATTTTATTTCCAAATAATCTTCTAAGAAATTTCCTGGAAAGAACTGTATAACTGTATAATTATAATAGGTAATAATGTAATATTAATGGAGAGTGATCAGTTGGTATACATCCAGTTAATATTAAATGCTAAGCTAGCACAACCTTGACACTTTTATTTGGAGGACACCAGATGAGCTGCACATGCAAAGTATGAAATTTTACAGGAAGATTTGTGTGAATTGCTCAGGTTGCACCTCTCTATCCTGTGGATAACAAGTATATGTGTTTATGGGGTGTGATTCCGTAATATGGATTTACTAATTCAAACTCAAGCAAAACATCAGCATCTCTAAATTATTCTGAGTCTGGTTCAAAACAAATGAATTAAAGCCATCCAGACAGACATGAGACACCACTGATGTAGCAGTTCATGATATTAATAGTGACGCCAGTCGATAGTAATCCTGCTTTATGTGGTTTGAAGCGAAATACCATTAAAAATTTATGATATTTAATTGATATTATGGTTAAAATGTCTTTGTGATATATGGTCAATACTATTCAAATGATCATAATTCCACCACAACTTATTGGTAAATTTGTGGCAGCCTACAGAGGTGTTACAATTATCTCCAGTGTCGTGGCAACTTTAAAGCAAAGGATGTTATCAATATATATAAATACAGTGTAATTCACCCAGTACCAATACCAGAACGATTCAAACTCCTCACATGAGATAACAGCAACCGCACATGTAGTTTGCAGGTAGCTGGTTTTAAATACTAACATGCAGTTATGTCACAGGGCAGTACTTTCTCAACCAGACAGTGTTAGCAACATGCAATTAGGTGCATGCAACACAGGAATGCAGTCTTTAAGGACAAGGCTGCCATTGTTAAAATTTTTTTATTACTGTCAGCAATAAAGGCACTTTCTGTGTTCTACCTGTTGCACTCAGCCCTAAGCCCATTGGTTTGTCTTGAATGTCATAAAAAAGTAATGTCTAAAAGGGCTCTTAACATTCATAAAACAGGTGGGCCATGCAGTATTACTCACACAAAGGTAAATTGTATATTTGTTTTCAGTGGCAGATATATATATATATATATATATATATATATATTGTATATGACATAGTAGTACTGGAAGTTCCTACACTGTTTTTAATTTTGGTTGTGGGCCACTTTACATTTGGACTGGAGCTGGTTATTTTCCGAATCCATTTGAGTCAAACCAATCAAATCCTTGTTTTGTCAGCATTTCTTTGACCTTCTCGTGCAAATAAAGACTCTCAAAACTTGTGCTTCATTCCTTAAAATTACTGGAAATTTACAGAATAGTTTTTTTCCCCAAAAGCTAAACAGTATATTCTGTAGATACACATGATTTACTCTGAACTTGCAAAATATAAATGACATCAAAGCCCCATACAACCACAAATCTATGTGGACGAAGCTGCCATGGAGATTGTGCGTTGTGCTGATGATATTGACCTCTTAGCCCTGCAGCCATGCAGCTTGGTTGAATGTAAGTTGCAACATCGGGTACAAAAATTCAATGTCTGAACAATATCTACTGCCAACATCAATTTGACGTAGAATACTGACAACAGGTTTAAAGTTGTGTTGTCAAATAACCAAAATACAGTGTCTTCCAAGTTTCTAATGCCAATGCAATCTCATCATTCTAGTCATAAGCAAAACCCAATGTCTGCTAAACGTCACGTCAGTTACCCAACGTTGGGTTTTGACATCAACCCTATCTTCATTTCAAGCCAAAATGTCTGTCCGGCGTTTGAGTCGTTAGAGTCCAACGTCTGATGTTACTCCTGGGAACGCACACCTTACTGGACACTTAATGTTATTTTTTTACCTGTTATGTGGTATTTGACATTATACATCCTCCATAAAGCTACAGCTTTAACACTAAACTATGTGTTAGTTATACTGCTGTCAATCTAAAATTAATTTGGTAAAACTCGTGATCCTGAGCACCTGAGCTAAATCTTGTTCCATTTTTACCATTTATGCAGCAATGTGATGGAAACCAAAAAAAAACAAATTTTCTAGAGGTTAATGTCAGTGTGAAACCCATCCTCACATTTCCCAGACAGTTCTAGCTAGCCTCACTAGTGACCTCAGAATAATGTACGTTTCTACATTACTTCACAGGTCAGTTATGTCAAAACTGTCAAATCCTTGTAATATCTACTGTTAGCAACGTTTTTGTCTCCTTTCTCATGCAAATAAAGTCTATCAAAACATTAACTCTGTTACAGCTAAAGAAACAGTGTGGGAAAGCAAACAAAATTTGTATATCTAAAACATACATTGAATTGCTTAAAAAATCTCATTCTGACGTTTCTCAATAAAATTCAGATACATAATCAAAGAGGCTTTTCTGTATAAAGCTGTGGCTCCCAAATTGAACATCCATAATTACTGTTTGTTATGTTCCTGGTGCAATTTGCAGAGGGTCTATATATCCCTGCCTCTGCTGAATCAATAATTGTCCATATCCATCCTAACAAGTACACATATATGGTCACCACCTAGTTATTTATGTTGAAAGCATTTTGTGTTGTTCCATTTTGAGATTATATTCAATTAAATATTGAAGTTTATAACTATAAATAAGTGTTTTAGCAGGCCTGGCTGAGTGGCGCTATCCATGGTTCTGAAAGTGGGATTTAATTCTGGAAAGTTAAATTAACCTTTAACCTTTAGTTTTGTATGATCACCTGCTCCATGTTTCCACATGAGGAAAAGACAAGGCATGAAAATGAAAATATAGTGATGGTACTTGATGAATTCAATTTCAAAAAATTGATTAAAATATTCCTGCAACTACAGTGCTTAAGTTCAGTGGTTAAATTGTTTTCATAATTATTCTATAAATGTTACTTTAATAGCTGTGAAAGATATATAATATAGTCTATTTACTGTAGACCCACTGTGGTTTGTGATTTGTTTTTATCAATAAAAACATCTAATAGTCTACAGCTACACTAGCAGCTTTGAGCCGCATGCTAATGTTAGCATGCATGCTAACTGGCTCACAATGATGTTAATATGATATGTAGCAGGTATGATGTTTTTATCCTCTTATTGTAGTATGTAATCACGCCAACGTTTGCTAATTAGCATTAAACCAAAGTACAGCTGAGGCTGGTTTTAAATTTGACCTGAAAAGTTGAGGGATCAAGAATGTTTGTATAAACGTCTGTATAAATTTCACAGCAATGCATCTGAATGTTGAGGACACATTTCACTAAATATTAAAAATGCCCCATGGTGCTGCTAGAATAAAAGATTGTAATATAATGATAATGTTTGTGAAGATTGTGGAGGCAAAAATGTCCTACATGTTTTCAATGGATTATGTTTCTGACTCTTCAGACCAACTCACAGACAGTTACTCAGACTTCTCCAAAATCGTGTTGCATTTACACAGGACTTGTATGAATAGGCTACGTGATCCAATGCAGGACTGTGGCATAGTTCTCAAATATTTTTTAGCCGGGAAATACACAATACAGTATTTCCAAACCCAATTATGCATTTTTAAAACCAGTGATGTCTGTTGTAAATATTTTTCTTTTGGCACATTCTTCCAAGAATTGTTCTCCTCTGTTTTGTTTTAACACACACTCATGGCTTTTCATCGTTTACTAATCTTGCTATCCTTTCTCCTTTATTGTTTCATTTCACTTTATTTCTTTAATTCTTTGATGACTGGAAATGGAACAGGAACATCAACTTTTTGGAACAGCACATCAACAGTCTTTAATAGATCGGACTGAGAATTCATTTTAAGACAAGAAAAATGTCATGAGGATCACGTCCCGTCCCGCCAAGCGTATGATCCCTCATAAATATTTAAAATTTTGTAATTGTAATAACAGATCCTCTAAAAGCTGAGAGAGAGATAATTTATCCCCTCAATGCTGAGAGTTACACCGCCTCCAAAACCGACTGTGCAGTTTATGGTAAACTCCTTCATGTTGGCACATGTCACACAGCAGTGAACACAAGCTGTGCACGTAGCTCAGGAGCGCCTGTTTATGGATTGTCCTGTATCCTCAGCGCGCCACGCTCTGACCTGTCCTGCAGAAATCGACCATTCTCAGGTGTACACAGGTAAAACACTGTTTTAAATTGTAGAATAGAAACTAGTGTTTTATTTTAATGCATTTGCAGGTGAAGGCATGTTTTCAATTTAACGAGCGAGAGGATGATCCGAGTTTCAGTGAGTCTTTTGTATTTTGAAAACTGGGTCTGTAGTTGATTTTGACCTTAAACTGTGTCGCTGTGACCAGGCGCAGGCGCGCACACACCAACTCTGCACAACTTGCGCATAATAATATGCGTGCACTTGTTATGCGACACATACCCAAACTTCCAGAAGATCTTCGATGTGATGGACTATTATATTCACCGTTTGTTTTTTGTTTGTTTGTTTTATTGCTGTTGGTATTTGCACTCTTGACTCTTAATGGCATTGTGACTTCACAGTATAATTAAACTTGCCTTCTTCTGTGGCGCACGGACCTTATCGATCCACTGCACTGTTTTCTGTTTTACTGAACATCCAGCGTGAAACTGCTGGTTAAAAATATCATACTGAAAATACAGAGAAATCCATGTTTTTTTTTTTATTTATTTATTTTATGCCCTTACCGACTTTGTGCCGGGCGTGTGAAACGTTTGGAAGTGTGACTCACCATTGAGGCAGGTAATTGCTTCCAGATTGCACCAGGCTGTCTAACCAAACCGACCCTGGTGCAGATGTGGCACAACACGTCTGACTGTAATGTATAAGTGGCCTATAGGGAGCGCGTCAACCCGTGTTACTCACATCATGGGCAAATTCCAACACAGAGCCATTTGTAATCATATTGAAAATATCCGTCCAAACATCCACTTTTGAGCTTTGGTTTTAAATAAATATGAAATGCTGCCAATAGCCCCAGTGCCTCAGAATGTGCTGTTGGCTGAGCCGCCAGGCAGCATCCAGTTTACAGGAAGGGCTTCACTTGGCTGAGCCAGGAGTTTCCTAATCCATTATTCAATTATTCCAACATTCAGCTCAACATATTATTGTAACGGAAAAAAGAAAATATTGCTCCAGCAGGAAACAGAAACTGAAAAATAAATTCTTGCTCATGGAATTTCCCCACTCTTCTGAGGCAGCATGTTTAAGCTCCACCCAGTGATATTCAATGATGATCAAGTCAGAGAAATGTGAGGACTGTTCCAAAAAGCTGCAGCTTGTGTAATCTTGAAGTGGTCTGTGATGGATTTTGAGGTCTGGTTTTGATCATTGTCCTGTTATAGAAGCCAGCGTGGAACCTTTCACTTTCACTTTGCTGATATTTAGTGGAATCATTCTTCCCTCTATCCATGCAGTGTTTTCCTGCACATATGGTGATAAACCGTCATTATACACACAACTACTTTTTCTCAATATAGAATATTTAATATTTAATATACAATATTTAAAGTATACAAGGGAAACTGCTTGTGAAACTGCATGAATACCACAACTTATCACAAGGCAAGATGAACTTCCTCAACCAGACAGTAACAACAGTAATAGCGCCATCAAATTAAACATACTGTGGTAAACTGTTGCAAGATATCAAACCAAACCAACCAAAGTACATAATAGAGAGGAAGAGGTGAAGTGACATTTCATCTTACAACATGGTAAGGGAACAACAAACATTTGTAGTTCTTGTTATCTTCATTAATAATCACAAACAGCTGAAATTACACTCTTGCTCTCTCTGTCTTTCTCTGAAATATTTCAGCATCTCTTGGAGTCCAGCCATGCTCTCCCTTTCAACTCCGCCCCCTCTCTACCTGAGTCTCCTCCTCTCTCTGTTGTACCACTCCCCCGTTCTCTCCTGTCAGCCTGGGAACCGCATCCAGTGCGAGTCCGCTCCCTTTGTACCAGGTTACAACCTGGTGGGGGAGGGTTTTGATGTGGTCACCCTGCAGCGAAAAGGAGCCTACTTGGTCGACGTGAACACTTTCCTCACCCCAAATGGCACCTGTACTCTCTGCTCCAATCCTCTCCAAGGCAACGAGCTGCAGAGAGTAATTTAAATAGTAGATGTACAACAGTTTTATATTGTACAGCATCTTAAACAGTTTCATGTTACTTTATGCGTGCATGTTAACCATGCTCTTCTCACCTTCATTTTCAGCTGCCAGTCTCTGCAGTGGACTGGCGTGCATTCACCCAATGCAATACCAATATCCACAGCAGTGTACACACCTCGGTCAGGTACTGTACGGCTTACTTATTACACAGCATTATAATCACTGAGTTGCAAAATGTCCTTTTTAATTGTGATTCTGTCATGTAATTGTATCCACAGCTCAATGATTGATACTTACATGTCCCAGGACAGTCATGACTGGAAGGTAGGAAGACATACAATGACCTAACCCTAACAGAATAAAATTTACCAAAGCAGTCATTGATCAGTCAGTGATTCTTTCCCTTTTTTCTACTGGTGTGGCAGCTTTTGGAGCATCTTGCTGCCTAGATATAATGCATATTAATACACTTTATGGCTCAGTAATGCTCTTTTAGATCTATTGTCCTTAATATACTTGATGCTAACAGAATAAGTAATGATATGTTAAACTGAAAGCATTAAAAAAAATTATTTTATAAATGACATAACATGGTGACTATAGTTGAACTTCAAGCAGCTCTTGAGATTTTATTTTCTATTTCATTTATCAGGTTGGTCTAAATTTGAATAAGTTTGTATCAGCCAACCTGGAGGTGGGAGGAACACGCTCCGCTGCTTATAACTTTGCTACAGCCAAGGCCAGAGAGGACCGCTACACCTTCAGCACTCACAGGGTCGCCTGTAAGCATTATGGGTAAGGTGTGAAGATCCCTGCTTCACCACAGGATGTCTTTTTCAGCGAAGTTTGTTTAAATAATTTCAGATAAGATCATTTTCTTTTGTGTCTCTTCGTGTCTAGTTACCGCGTGTCGAACAGACCGCCCCTCAGCTCTGAGTTCATCGAGGATTTGGCCAGGCTGCCAAGGTTGTACAACTCTGCCACAAGGGATCAGTACGAGGAGCTTATACATACCTATGGCACACACTTCATCCGCAAGGTTTACACACACACACACCCGGCATTAGAGGACATTACATTAGAGGACTGACTTATTAACCCTAACCCCCTAACGCATGCCTTAACTTCAAAGTAAAAGTAACCTTCCCCTGACTTTAAAACAAGTCTTAACCCTAAAATTGAATGATTTATATTATGGGCACTTGATTTTTGTCCCCAAAGGGAAGGCAAGTTCCCACAATCTGAGTGTGTAAACAGATTTATGTCCCCACAATATACTGTATATATATATATATATATATACAAATACAAACATACACATATAGACAAACCACAATGATTTCCTCTTCTACTAAATAAACAACTTCTTTTCAGGTCCGCCTTGGGGGGCGACTCAGGCGAGTCACTGCTACACGTACCTGTTTGTCCACACTGAATGGGTTCTCCTTAAAAGAGGTACACAAAGCACAAAAACTATATATATGCATACAAACACATGCTGCTACACTGCCCAACACCACAAACTACTATCAGTTAATGTTTCCATTTTCCATTCTTTGTTGAAATTTGAATCATCCTGTATTTAGTCTCTTAATGACCAAAGCTAGTTTAGGCAAGCAACCCAAGTGATTGAGCATTTTGACACTTTGACAGTATTTATATAGCTTATAACCTAAACCTGCTTTATGATCAAAAAAGACATGCAAATTTCACTTTCTACAATATATAACCTTTATCTAATCTAATGTAGAACTGTTTGACTTCAAGTAATTTCTATCAATGGCAAATTTCTGTTATAGCTCTTCTAGAAGTTGATAAGCATGGAGATGGATGACAACTACAAGCAAATAACACAATGTAGAGCCAAGTGTCTTAGTATGATGTTGAGCCACCATGACCATCAGAATACCTCCAGTGCTCTTTGTCACACATTGTTTAGGTCCCTGAGCTCTACTGGAGAGATGAACACCATTCTTACAAAATATATTCTGTCAAATATTCCGTGTTTGATGATGGTGATAAAGTGTTCTGTCTAGCAGGCTGATCCAAAATCTTCCATAGGTTTTAAGCTGTGTTGAGTGACTGGTTGAATATGAGGTATTGTATATTGCTGTTCACTGTTCACAGCATAAAAGCACTATTCAAATTCCTGCTATCAACTGACTATAAATAACCCCCTTTGTCCTGTAGATGCACTCCTGTCTATCCCTGGGGGTCTCTGTAGGCCTGGGGGTGGCTGGACTTTCCTTAGGCCAACAATCGTGCACCAGATTCCTACAGAACCAAGGCAAAACCGTCATGCATGACTCTGGCCTCCACCAGCACTTCACTGAGGTGGTGGGAGGCACTAGCTGGATGGGGGAGTTTTCACTCACTCATGAAGACTCCTCCAGCTACAAAAACTGGCTGGAGGCGCTCAAGAATCTCCCTGCTATTGTTGAGTACACCATCAGGCCAATGTATAAGCTGGTGCCAAGTTGGACAAAGAAGACAGGTATGAAGGCTGCCATAGAGCAGTACTTAAAAGACAACGCCGTGAGGACCTCACCCAGTGAACCAACATGTGGGTGGTACAGTTCTAACCTGGCTCACAACTGCTGTCCTAAACAGTCCTCCAGGGGGAATCTAGTCGTGACCATTGTTCGAGCGTGGAATCTGCAAGGAGATCCAGTTGGCGTGACTGACGGGTGAGTTGTGAGGTCAGGGATGGAGATGTGAAGGTGTTTAGTTGGCTAGCGCTGCAAACGTGACACATCAAACAGGTGGAAATCAGGAATCACCTTCTGATAGGATATAAAGATTCATAGTCAGTGATTTTGTAGTTAGTTCACTTTCACCTAAGCTGTTGCATCCCTGCTCAAATGATCTAAAGTCATCAGTAAGTGAACGCATCACTGTTAAAAAAAAAAAGCACATCAATCCATACAAAAGTAAATGAACACATCACCATTCATTTGGCCACAACAGACAGTAGCACGTTCAGTTTGTTGCTAGTCCAAGTCATGGAAAGTCCAATAGGCCCATTCAGTAATCCGTCCATGGTCCGAGCAGCTATGTCCAAATCAGTGCAAAACTAGCCTATGCCAACACTCAAGTGACGAAAGAATTTACTGTTGTGGCAAAACAAAAAAACACTACATCCAACAAGACCAGCAGAAGTTACAGAAGGACGGTGATATGATGCACTGAAGAACATCTATGAAAATAAGCAGTCAATTTGGTGCATTCAGTGGTAGCTAGGTTAATTTGTGTTTCCAGCATTAATATATGTTAACAATAGTTAACTGGAACCTCATGGTGTTTGTATTGTTGATGTCAGACATCAAACAAATATCAATAAAAGATACTGTGTAAGTATAAATATGTAATTTCTTGTTGCTTTGCATTTGTTGGATATAGTTAACTCATAAATGTGCTTAAGGACATTGAATGCAACAACATTTAAATCAATGTGAAACTTTATATGTTAACTGGATGGATTCAATGTACACTTGAGTGCAGAGTCTTTAGTAAGTGTAAGGACAACTAAACAAGATCAAATGTACTGTCATGATTTATTCAAGTTTATTTTTCATTATGTTTATTTCTTTATTTTTCATAGTTCCCATGATGAGACAATTCCTTGTTTAGTCTCCGAGGATAGATCCCTTAGATTAGTATTGTTTAATACATATAATTAGCTTTTAATAAGGAATGTCCTGTGTATTACAGCTCAGCTCACAATAGCGCCCTCAGACTCCAATTAATTACAAATCAATCACTAATCATGTAATTTGTTGTTTTTCCTTGTTTTCTACATTTCACAGCTATGTTAAGATGTGGTACGGTTCCATCTACCGCAGGACTCATGTGATCGAGACAAACTCCCCCTGGTGGAACGCTCGTTACGATCTGGGCATGGTCAGTAAATCTTCTCTTTACACTTCAGCTCAAAAGAACAGGAAAGAAAAACTCTAGCCTCATCATTGGGCCTAATCAGCTGAGGTCTGATGTATTACTTACACTGTAGACTACACTTACCATTTATACCATCTGTGTGTACCTTACGGTGGCCCTGAGAGCTCAACGCACTGCAACTTAGGAAAACACACGCAAAGATATAAACATGCTGCAAATTCAGAAAACAATGCTAACTTCAGTGGAAGAACTGAAGTGATAGAATTAGACTCAAAACAGGAGGGTTGCTTTCCACCACTGGAGATGGCTCTTGGTGAGTAAAGGAATGAAGTTTGATCCTGAACTCACAACATTTCCTCTAAAAGTATTGATGAAATCCACAAGAAGATCATATCTGTGTGTACAAATGTTAAATGAATTAGACCCACTCTTCTTTCTCAAGACTTCAACTCAGTATTTGAAGGGTAATAGTGATTTTAATGTCATTTTGTATTAATGTCTTTTTTTTTAATGAAGGTGGACACACACTTAGAGTTGAAGTTTGAGGTCTGGGACGAGGACGTGTTCTATGACGACCGTCTGATATCATGTGATGTGCACGTGCGCCAGGGGACACACGAATACACCTGCTCAAATTCATTGGGCAAATTTGAGTTCAAGTTTACTCTGACCTGTGACCGTCATCTGACTGGAGACAGGTGTAACCATTACAAACCATCTCCACAGTGAGAAAAGCATTTTGGGGCCACATTATTCACAAAAACTGCTCACTTTTCTTTGATCAGGTAAAATATCATTTTCTGTTGATGACTTGCTTTAAGTGCATTGAACCAGTAACAAACAGTGTGCCAGACACACATTTATTTTTCTACTCTTTTACATCCTTTTAAGGTTCAATCAGGTATTTTTACCATTTAAATTACACATAAATTCAATCATCATTTTGAAATCGATCATATTTTCCATGAAATGTTTTATACATACTGTTGCAGGTCATAGGAAGCCTAAAAAATACCGTTTGTTTCTCTGTTTACGTATTTAAGGAAACCTTTCCAGTTCCTTAATCCTTGACATGCTTTGGTTGTGGGACTTGTCTCTTAAAAGGACAGCAAGCTATCGATTCGGGCCTATTTGAAAACTCTATTTGTCTGGAAAAGAAAACTGAATTATCTGCCGCCTTCTTCAATATCGCCTCTTAAGAAATCTTCATTGTCTTGAAGTCATTCAGTAATTCATCCGGTGCAGTGCGGATGATTTAATATATCAGCTGTATTAAATCCAATTCTGTTTCCTCTGTTCTATATACAATAGTGTCATGTCAAATGTATACCTTTTGCTGCATCCAATAATAAGCATGGTGTAACAACTGGTGTCCTGTTTTTTTTTTTTTGAGAACGAATGTAAGTTCTTCTTTAAGGAATTTCTTAAAGTAAAGAGTAAAATCTCCTTGATTTGTGTTGGTGAATCATGTTATTGATTTCTATAAAGACAGCTGCATGGTCTGGAGTAATATCACCAATAAGCACATTCAGCAGTGATACTGTAGGAGCTGACTTTAAATCAGTTCTCACTTTGAGCGTTCATCTGCAGAACTATGTGAACCCGCTTTTTATAAGGGAACTTAAAATCTGTTTTCACTTAATCAGGTTGTTTTATATTTTTGTATGTTTTACGTACAAAAAAATGTATATATATATATTTCTTTTTCTTTTTTCTTTTTTTACCATGAATACAAACCAATTAAAAAACAGGACAAACCACATTTGCAGCTGATCAAGTTCAACTACTCCCGTGTGCAGGACTCCTCACGTGACCCAACATGTGTATAAAAGTGCTGTTACCTGCAGACTAGACAGTGTCGCCACATCCTCGGCTGACACACTCTCCTCATCTCCAGCTCACTGGCGGATTTACACTGCAGGAGTATCAGAGAAACTCTGCTGAGGTTTTAACAGGTATGATCTAATTTTCCATTGAATTATGCTCGTTAATAATCCAAACAGACCTCCTGAGCTGAAACAGTGCTAAATGTCTTATTTGTGGGAATTTGATTAAACACAACTTTATTTAGAAATATGCTCATATGAGGGAAATATGACTAAGGGATCTTCCACAAGACATGACCAGATAACTATAGCTAATAGGTCTAATGCAGGACCCACCTTAGTTTATATTGTACTTTGGCGTTGCACTTAACACATTTGTAACTAATCAAGTGGATAAAAACAGGGGAGATTAGATTTTTTTGGCTTGCAGGATCTGGGCAGTTTGCCACTTTGCCTGGTTTGTTGTCCAGCCGTGGACAGGAAGTGTTGGAAACCACAATCCCATAACTGGGCGTGTCTGTGTTTTGCTTCAGCATCACTCAGCCGCTGTCATTTTCCAGTGTAAGATCATTTATAGAGCTGTGTTAGTAGTCTTTTGACCACGTGGGGGCAGAATTGCTCCAACACAAGCTGACAAACCAGCAGTGCTGAGGTATTAGTGCCTTATAAAGTCATTAAACCTCCAAATAACTGATTTTATTAAGCATGTAGGTGCTGTAGAAACAAGTTGTGAAAATAACACTAACATCACCTTGTAAGTTGATATTGAGAACTTCAACTTCCAATTGGACAAAGCAGACAACTGCCCCTGGTCACAGGGTTAGGAACCCCAGGGACCCAAAAAGCCCCAGGTTTACTTTGAATAAAATGGCTGAATTTGAACCATTAAAAAGCAAAATAAATCTTCATCACTGAAGCTTGTGACCCTGGTTTTGTAGGCTGGTGTATTTGTATTGTGATCATGTGTCGCCTATATACACTGTTGCTCATAAAGTTGGAATAAAATATTTTTTACCTCTTTCCATGAAATGATTGTGACAAGGCGATTTATTCTTGACAGATAAAGTGTATATCTTCTCAAAACTTTAGTAGTCAATCTCTTTCAAAGTGATTATTGATGCATTTAAATAAACAACATTATTCCAACTTTATATCCAACAGTATATTTCTAACATGAACTTGGACTTAAAAATACTCATTAAGTTATAAGTTTCAAAAGTTTTTATTGGCTTGAGAAAGACAAGACAAATATAGTAACTCTGATAATGCACAGTAATCAGCAGAAAGATTTCACAGTTTTGACACATGAATTCAGAAAATAATCAAAAGCATCTTTATATGACAAAAGCAGAATCTAAGATTCAAATGTGGCCCCTCCACCCAGTAAACAGGACTACTATCGCTCCAATAATCAAACATGGCTGAACACTAAACTACAACTGAATTTAAGTTTAGAAACACAGATGATGCTGAATATAGACTTAAATTACAGAAGTGAATAAGTATTACCAAATCTTTAAAACTGGAAACCGAATGGTGTGACACTCATTTTACTTAAGACTTATGTGACTGTCGGGTTCATTGCATTTGAAAAAGTAATCAACAGATCTGATTTCACACTTGGTTAAAGACAAGCCATGGAGCGTGCCACCTCAGTATGCTGAATGCATTCCTCATTATGGAGATGGTTTGTACTGGTGGCACCTGTCTCCGGTCAGGTGGCGGTCGCAGGTGAGAGTGTACAGGATCTCGAAGCCGCCTCTCTTGGCTGGGCAGGTGAATCTGTGTGTCCCCTGCCTCAGGGTCCTTGTACATGACCCCAGACGGTCGTCTCTGCCCCAGTCTTCATCCCAGACTTCAACCTTCAGACCCAAGTGTGTGTCCACCTTCATAAACAAATCAGTGAAAGCTAAATGAAAATAATATCAAAACATACTATATATCCCACAGTCAGTTTACACAACCTTAGATTTATGCATTTTTACAAAATGCTTGTTGCCTTTGTTAAATATGTTTTCACAACTAATCACATCAAACCATGAGACAAACATGGCTAGCTGACATCTGATGTTTCATAAGCGGGAATATACAAAGTACTTTATGAATGAATATTCAGTAACTGAACAGTGTGGAAAGTGGAAAGGCCAAAAGTCCTCACTAAGACCAGGAAAGTGGTTCACATCCCTCCAGTTTTCAGAGCCGACCTTCAGATTATCATGTTAGTTCATACAGCACTGAATGGTTTGGGGTCAGATACATTTCTAATCTGTTGCTCTGTTGTGACCCATCCAGACTCCTCATATCATCTGGGAGGGTCAAAGGAAAGCAGCATTCAGTTTCTATGCTACACAAACCTGGAAACAAACTCCCAGAAAACTCTGCCTCAACTCACACTTTTCTGTTTGCTGCTGCATTTTATTAAGTTAGACGTTTTAGCTTCGGTTTTATTATACACTTAAATCCAATTTAACGTAACGTAAAATCACTAAATCTCTCTCATTTACAAAACAAATTTAATTCCAGTTTTGATTTTGATTTCTTTCACTGTCAGAAATCTGGAAGCTGCTGTGTGAGAGAAGATTAACACTGACCTTGCCCAGATCATAACGTGCGTTCCAGCGAGGGCTGTTTGATCTGATCATACGGGTCTTGCGGTAGATGGAGCCGTACACATCTTAGCATATCTGTGAAATGGAAAGGAAAATACCTGTATCAATATTTGTGTTTGATGCATCACATTCACTGTGCCATCTCTCTGTATCTCGACTTGTTCTCTACGCACCCCTCAGTCCTGCCCCATCTATCTCCTTTCAGTCCCCAGGCTCGGACGATGGTCACCACCAGTCTTCCCTTCGAGGCCTGTTTAGGACAGCAGCTGGAATCCAGGTTAGGGTCATGCCAGCCACAGTACGGTTGTGTTGTTGAGCTCTTGATGCCGTGGTCTTTTAAGTACTGCTCTATGGCGACGCTTCAGTCCTTCTTTTTTGTCGGTTTGGCACCAGCTCGTACAGTGGTCTCAGGGAGTACCGAACAACATCAGGTGATCCTGAGGGTTTTCAGCCAATTTCGGTAGCCCACGGAGTCGTTCCTGGTGAGTGCAAACTCCGCCACCAACCTTTGCCTCCTACCACCTCTGTGTAATGCTGGTGGAGTCCAGAGCTGAACAAGGGGAGATGCCCTGGTTCTGTAGGACTTTGCTGCAGTACTTTTGATTAGAAGACAGTTTTGATCTTTCCCAGGCCTACATTGATACCCTGTGACAAGCAGCTGTGCACCTAGATGACAGGAGGGGATTTTAGATGTTGTTTTTTGGTACAGAGTGTGTTTACTGGTTTCACTAGACATGTGTGCTACATATACCGTGGAAGAGGAGAGGCCATTCAGTCTGGACAAACAGGTACGTGCAGCTGTGACTCGCCTGAATCGGCCCCCAAGATAAACCTAAAATTACACACAAGAAATGTTGTTTATATTTCAGTATATATATATATATATAATATATATATATATATACATATATATATATATAGACAAGATTATGGTGCGTGTATTCCTGTGAAATCATTAGTCAAGAAGTCAAGACATTAAAATTGAGGGTGTGTGTGTGTGTTGTGTGTGTGTGTGTGTGTGTGTGTGTGGTGTGTGTGTGTGTTGTGTGTGTGTTATGGTGTGTAGTTTGTGAGGTGTATGTGAGTTTAACCTGGCGGATATAATGTGTGCCGTAGGTCTCTATGATCCGTCTGTACTGGTCTTAGGTGTGGTCGCTGTAGGAATGGGCAGGTTTGCCAAATCCCTACTGAATTCATAGCTGAGGGGTGGTCTGTCTGAACACACGGTAACTAAATGCAAAAAAGACAGCACAACAAATTACCTGCCGTGTACAAACCTAGAGGGTAAATCAGACATTCTGTGGTCATGTAGGTGGAGGTCTTCGAACTACCCTACCTGTAATGGATACATGTGGCTCTGTGAGTGCTGAAGGTGTAGGCGGTCCTCTTTGCTCCTGGCTGTAACAAAGTTATATGCAGTGGAACGTGTTCCCCCCACCTCCAGGCCGACAAACTTCTTCCAATCGAGTCCCACCTGATAAAAGAGGAGGACATGAGCTCCTTGATGTCCAAATTGCAATAATCAGGTTGCAGTATATTGAGGGGTCTGTTCAGCCACATCACAGAAAAGCTTCATCTGTAAGTTTTTGTAAGTTTGTCTGAGATTTGTGCTGCCAGCATTGATCTTTATTACCATACAGTGTTGAAATTACAGCATTCATTTTGTTTTTACTTAACTTCCCTCTCTCTGAGCATATTATCATTCTGAAGTCCAGTATTCAGCTCAAAGACCACTGTGCTGAAGCACGATCCTCACAGAGCTGCTTAGTGTGGATGTAGACTCTTACTCTTGTTAGATTTAGGTTTTTCGTTCACAGAGGAACTTTTCCCCTTATTTTACACTCAGCACAAGTTTTGTGAAACTGATGTCCTTGAAACTTCAACAGATAAAACTAAGACTACCTGTGTGGCATGCAAAAATTATAGATTTTTGGTGAACAAATAATGAAATAAAACAAGTAATTAAAAGAAATTGATTATTTAAAAAATGAACATCAACAATAATATATATACATATATGTATACACACACACACACACACACACACACACACACACACACACACCACGAAAGTAAAAGTGTTTCATACTTTCCAGTGTTGCTTCCTCATTTACTGTGTTGGAGAAGTAGTGAGCTGTGGACACAAAGTACAAAAGTATTAGAATCAAATAATATTATAATTGACCATAAAAGCACTTATTATGCAGAACAGGCCATTTCCACAGTTAGAATATTATTGTATTATAATTATTGATGCAAAGTCACTTTAATGCTGCATCTGGTAAGAGACAAGCTAATGTACTTCATATGGGAAAATATATGTTAGTTAGTTAGTTTGTTTTATTGTCCCAAGGGGAAATTCATTTTCAACAGTTCTGTACACAGAAACGCCGACACGTGCACATTACACATCATCACACAAACACACAGTAACCACTAAACACATGCAACTGGTGTCAAAAGCTCAGTTCTTCTTGCTAATTCAGCTTCACGATGCATGTTAGAAAATATTGCACTACAGATCTAGAAAAAACCCTCAAATATATAAAATGCTCACAGACACACTGAGTATTTATGATTCTCATATCACACAATACCTGACGGAAGCTGATGCATGCCATGTTACAGAATGAACACACATGCAGCGGCTGAAACATGCGCAGCCGATTACAAAAAGTACTAGCAGAGAGCGGCAGCTGGAAAGTTCAAGAGTGGAGACCGACCAAGGTGAACATGTTAACAATAAGTGTGTGGTGGACGTTGTGTGTGTGTGTGTTGTGTGTGTTGTGTGTGTGTGTGGTGTGTGTGTGTGGTGTGTGTCAAATGAATTGCTCTGTGTGTAAAGTTGTCTGATTTCAATTACTTTCTGGCAGGCCGTTTTTGCCTTGAAGAGGGTTGGCGTCGGAGGATACAGTGTGCCATTTGGGGTGGTGTAAGTCTTCACGTCGATCGTGTAAGCTCCCTTCCTTCGCAGGGTGACGACATCAAAGCCCTCCCCACCAGGTTGTAGCTGGGCAGCACAAGGGAGGCGGACTTGCACTCCGGCGCGTGACCTCAGCAGGAGAGAACGAGGGAGTGGTGCGACAAGTAAAGAAGGAAGGAGACTCAGGTAGAGGGGATGGAGTTGAGAGGGAGAGCATGGCTGGGGTCAAGAGACACTCTTATAATGTTTCACACAAAGACAGAGACGAACAGTGAAGTGGAAAATCAGTGACTATCATTTCAAGCTGTAATGTAATTATTCTATCAAAGTTATCAAGCACTAATAATGTTTTGGTTAACAGGCTTTTGATATCTGTATTCCTTATAACGTTAGCATACATGTTGAAGGGTTTCTCACATTCACCAAAACCCATCAAATAATAACTGATTAAGGAGTTTGGAATAAAAAAAGGTCATCGATATGTAAGAATGCAACTAATGAATATCATTATCAAATTATATCTGTCGAATATTTATTTTACGATTATATATGTCCAATTGTCAATCAATTATTTAAAAAGATCCTCATGCAGAAGAGTTAATCAGTAGATGTTTTCAAGGCGTGGGTTGTTGGTGTTTGAGTCATGTTGAGCCGAACAGGTCCAGAACAAAGACGTTTCAGGTTTAATAATGATATAAAACAGAGAAGAAGTGTTTGACAAACAAATGCATCTCACGGTTTTTGCTTGACATAATAACGATCTTAAAATGATGAACATTATCAGAAATAAGCTTGCGTGCAGATTATTTTTATGTTTTAGATTGGCTCAACAG